GGAATGGGAATGATGAATCCAATGATGCGTCCCGGCTCCATGTTCGGACGTGCATTTGGCGGCATGGGTGGAATGCCGATGGGCAGAATGGGTGGAATGCCCATGGGCGGAATGGGTGGAATGCCGCCCATGGGCGGCTTTGGAATGAGACGATTTGGCATGGGCCAAATGCCTATGGGTCTAATGGGCGGAATGGGCCCGATGATGGGCGGAATGGGTGGTATGTGCGGATGTGATATGGGTGGTTATGGCATGGAGCCACCGGCATACTGGTGATCCCAGAGAACTGAACGCATGCAGATACACACACACAGACAGACAGACACATGCATGCAGCACACATTTCAAATAGACAGCACCAAACCAAGTCTCGCTTACTACACAAGAGAAATGTTTTACTTGTATACTCTTATGCTTAATCGTTTTGTATACACTCACAAATATAGTCTATAAAAACTACCCAAAACATGCTTAATTTTGTTTTATATTAAAACTCATTGGGTAGTAAACACTAAAATAGGCCTGGAGATTTTCACAGTCGTGCTGCTCCACACGGTATTCCCTCGATTCGGAGAACGATATGCACAGCCTAGTTTGTTTTTAGTTAGCCCACTAGTCCGCAAAGTTAAGTTTCTGCTATCATATTTCTTGCATACGTGCCTGCGACTTTACTGTCTACGTTCTTCCAACCTGCACATAGTTAATTTGCTCGTTCCACAAGAATTATTGATTGATATCGATTCAGGTCAATCAACCTCACGCACTTGTCCATGCCAATACTTCGTGCCAACATGAGCCCGATCCTGATTGACTGTTAGTTCTATTGCTGCCTTGCTTAACACATGCTTGACACGAGTGATTGTGGACGAGTTACAATAAATCTATCCTACCCTGCGTACGGTTATTCTACTTTGCCAGCGGGCTACTGGTTCGAGACTAGACAGTTTGAAATACAAACGTAACAGTATTCACGTAACCCAGCATCAACAATGGGCAAATTATCGACCGACCGTATCAGAATTACAAGCGAGAAACTGTTCGTTATGCATCCTAGGGAAACAAAACCGTCAGAGATTTAGTTCTCACAGAAAATTCCGCTACCAGACAACATGTTCCTTTTCATTCTGTCACCTTCCAGCTGAA